CCTAATCGGGTCGGGTTCGGGTTAGGGATTTCGACCCATTTGTAAAACCGAGCCGGTTTCAGGTTGAACCGTAAACCCAAAATCAATCTTTTTTGACCTGAAAACATGCCACACGTGCGTGACCGGTCTCAACAGGTTATTCACGTCAGTCGAATCTATCTTCATTCGCACCAATCGAATCTTGTCTCTGTCCGTCACTCGAATCGCGTCACTTTAATCCCCGTCCATCGAGGTCGGAATTCGCATGCGGCTGTCGGTGTCCTGACCGCTCTTCAACTGGTGTCTAGCCGCCATCCCGCCTGCTAGCATCTAGGCATCATCCCTCCTATGACAGTCGTGGCCTCTCCCATTCCTACCTGAAGCCAACGGTGTCTCGCCTATGGCTACCCAAACACACGATAGATTTAGTCCTGACCGCTCTTCAACTGGTGTCTAGCCGCCATCCCGCCTGCTAGCATCTAGGCATCATCCCTCCTATGACAGTCGTGGCCTCTCCCATTCTTACCTGAAGCCAACGGTGTCTCGCCTATGGCTACCCAAACACGCGATAGATTTACGGATACTAGAGTTTTAGGTCGGGAAGGGTCCATGTTAAAAACAGGTTTGGTTTGGGTTGCCCCAAATAGTGTCGGGCCAGTTTCGGATTAGACATGATCGAACCTGTCCGATTACGCAATTTTGATATCTCAACTATCAGATAATTAATTAATTTATTAATTCAATAAAAAATTCAAATTGAAGTTGTTTTCAATTTTAAATGTTGATAATAATTGTAATCCTTTTTTTTCATGCTGATAATCGCAATAAAAAATGTATAATAGAAAACTTTTCATTAATTCATAATAACTATATCCTTTTTCTAAATAGATGATGATGATGATAGTTTTTATCATTTTGTTTATATTTGCATTATGATGATCACCTACTTATATGATGATGGTGACGCAACATTTTAGAAAGATATAAGCAGCAGTGTTGAAAGTTCTGATGGCTAGTGATTTCTTTCTTTTATGTTTTTTTATAATACTAATTATAATTTCAAATCATATTTTGTATGCTAATTTGAGTTTCTAACCGATTAGTTTAATAGAAAATATTTTAATTACTATTTATTAATTTGTACCTTAATGTAAGATTAGAGAAGAAATATAAATTGACAATATTGCAATGTAATATGTCAAATGAATTTAAAATTCATAATTTTTTTTTGATAAATCTGTGTGTGAGTAAAGAGGAAATATTCAGATATTAAATTTAATATAATTATCTTCATTCTTCAGTTATCTTTTTCTAAAGTAACCGCCAAATTTACAGCTTCTATTCTCATTCAACTTTCTTGTTAGTAGAAGAAACATATACTAGTTTATCTTTTCAATTGAATTAATTTATAATTTGCCAAATGAATATATATATATATATATATTCATTTGGCTATTTATATATATACATAGTTGCGGGCATGAGTATATGCGGCGATAGAGTTAAAATACAACGTCTTAGTTTTACGGATATCGAGCTCTCACATAGAGAACACAATGTTTTTTACATGGAAACACCTAGAAAGAGGAAAAACCACTAGGCCTCGCCTAGTTGAAAATAATTTCACTAGAATTTGAGTAGATTACCATGGGATGATTCGTCCTTGAGGGCGATCAAATTACAATAGTCTTAGGGTTTGTTTAATATACTCCAAATTATTTTAAAAGTATATAGGAGAGTCTTCTAAGGGTCATGGATAACACCTAATGCTAAACTAGGGTATAGAAAGAAATAAGCTAGAGCATTAAGCTTTCTAGGGCTAGCCAATGCTAAGTCCAATGGAATCTTCATTAGAGGGCCCTATAGGAAAAGTCCCAACCCTACGATATTAACCATAAGTATTAAGGCTAGGCTCTAAGAGGATAAATCCAACTTTAATAAAAGAATAAGCCATCAAAAATTCACTAGAAATCTACATTCATACTTATCAAAATATTTTTTTTTAATGCACCCATATGTTACATTCATAAGAAATGATTGGTTTCAAACTTTATAGGTAGGTGGAAATGCTCGTAAAAACATATTTGGGCAATAATAACATGAAATTATTTTATTAATCATATATTATGATGAAAATCTTATCCTTAAAGTGGATTGAGACTTGAAGGTTTACTATTAGAGAGATACACTTTGGAGAACGATGGTTTCGATGGTTACACCTAGCCCGAATCCCAAAAGAACACCCCACTCAAGACCCTCACCGGTTGTAGTGTTTCCTTCATCTATAGACCTTTTACGCATCTCATCAAGAACAAAATGCACACATACACCCATTAAATTTCCATACTCAGCAAGCACATGCCTTGAAATCATCAACTTCTCTGGTTTTAGTCCAACCCTCTCTTCTAATTGGTCTAAAATGGCTCGACCACCTGGATGAACCACCCAAAAGATAGAGTTCCAATTTGAAATACCAAGAGGGGTGAAGGCCTCTTCTAAGATCTTTCCAATATTATTGGAAAGGAGGTTCGGGACATCTTTATGGATTGTGGCTTTGATACCTCCTTCACTTAAATGGCCTGTAATAGCATGTGATGAGTTCGGCAAAATGACTTGAGATGCAGATGTTATGACAAAGCTTGCCCGCTCACCAATAGTCTCATTTGGGTTGACACCAACTATAAGAGCAGAGGCACCATCAGCAAATAGGGCTTGGGTAATAAGGTCTTCTTGGTGCTCCTCAGATGGTCCACGGAACAACATGGTGGTGGTCTCTGCAGAAACAACAAGAACACGTGCACCTTTATGGCTTTCAGCAAGACACTTTGCAAGACGAAGCATGGTTCCGCCAGCGAAACACCCATGCTGAAGGATCACAACACGTTCAATATTTGGGCTGAGGCCAAGGGTTTGTAAGAGGTGGTAGTCTCCACAAGGTAGGCCAGGGTCACTCAAGGTGGAGAAGATGAGGTGAGTGATACAAGACTTAGGCTGCCCCCATTCCTGAATTGCCTTGGTGGCTGCCTCCACGGCTAACTTTTGTATCTCCTTCGCATAAATTTCAAGCCTTGTGTTTATAGAGTTTTCCATAAACTTAGAAAGGCAAGGGTTTTTTGTAATAAGCTCCTCATTCAAAATGAAATGTCGCTTTCTAATTGAAGTTTTATCACCTACGGATGGAGTTCAATGAATTTATTAATATTTCATCCCATTTATGATAAGATGTTGCAAATCAAAGAGAAGTATTACACTATAATGGAGATTAGATATCGATGACTCACAAATGCGTTGGAATTTCTTCTTGAGATCGATCAAGTGCTGGCTGTTGGTGACACGAAAGAAATAGTCCGGGTAAGTGCTCTGTTCTAGGAAGTTTTCGGGGGTTGCCTTACCAATGGCCAATATGGAGGCAGAGCCGTCTGCTCTTTGTGCCATCTTGGTGGATTCAGAACCCAGCAATGTCAGAACCTTAGGCTCTACAACTCCAAATTTTTGTTGAGTAAATAGAGCTTGGCTTGCTGCTCTACTAGGCTGATGATTAATTTATATTCTCAGGAGGAGAAAAGAGGGCTTGATATTGTTAG